ACAGGTTGAGAATCAATGATATAGATGTTAACAGTAATTGACTGTGAATTGGGTGGTTATTCCAATTTATTTTTCTTTTGGATTATCTGTACTTTCTAATTTTTCCATATCAATCTTATGATCTAATTTTTAAGTAACCTGTTATATACATTCCACAGCTCTTATTAATCTTGCCGTGATGGTTAATTTTAGATGTCAATTTGATGGGAATATGGGAATACCCAAATGGCTAGTACAATAGTATTTCTGAGTATGGCTGCAAAGTTATTTCCAGAAGAGACAAGCATTTGAATCAGTAAACTGAGAAAAATCGTCCCACCCATTGTGGGTGGGCACCATCGATCTGCTGAGAGCCTGGATGGAACAAAAAAGCGAAGGAAAGGCCAATTCTCTCTCCTCTCTCTGGAGCAAGGGTGCCTATCTTCCGCCCTTAGACATCTGAGTTCCAGGTTCTCTAGGCTTTTGGATTTCAGGACTTACACCAGTGGTACCCCAGGTTTCAGACTTTCAGTCTCGGACTGAGCTGCTCCACCAGGTTTCCTGGTCCTCCAGTTTTCAGGAAGCCAGTCCATTGTGGGACTCCCCAGCCTCCATAATCTCATGAGCCAATGACTCCTCTTTCATATGAGACGGAGTTATTAGGGGAAGTGTCAAACAAATATCTACAAATACCTATATCTAGATATATCCTACCGATTCTGTATATACCCTGACCGACACACTTGCTAAAAGAATCTTGAAATGTACTTGAAAATGAAGAGGGAAGAACAGCATAAAAATAACAAAGTAATATGTTATTAAGTCTCCAAAATAGACATAAAAACCCATTTGGAAATATACAATGTGTAGGAGACACCAAGAGCCAGATGACATCCGAGCAAGATGATCTACAGCTGAGGCGTGGACCTCGGGCCGTTCCTCCACAGGAGTTCCTTGTGGGAGGAGCCTGTGCCCTCAGCACGTAGTCATTGTTAATTACTCCCCTCACCTGTGCTGTTCTGGCTCAATACAAGGCTGGTGCGGAGGTTGCTCGGGGCTACCCGGAAAGTAAGGGCTAGCCCGCCTTCCACAAGCTTGTACTTCTAATCCGCCTCTTGCCTGGTTCCTTCCTGCGCTAACCTAGACCAGGGCCAGAGGAGCCCGACACCACAACAATGTAACAATGAATATTCAAGAACAAAGCCATTCCCACTGGTAATTATCACCAGCACGTGCAGGTACACACACACATTTACTGCTTTTGTTTCAGTTCCTCCTGAAGACAGAGACAGGACTTGGGTGCAGGTTAATTTATCTCAGAGGTTCACAAAAGGAAGAAGTGAGGAACTGAGAAAAATGAAATCCAAGAGAGGAAGGCCAGAAAATATTCCCTAATGAGTAGGAAGGGCTGTGGGAACCAGCGCTCAGTCCCACTGGGGACTCTCTGAGAAGCGCTACAGAGCAAATTTCAGAGCTGTCCCACAGCAGCGTGGGAAGGCTGGAGCCGTTACCCCCCAACTCTCATCCCACGTGGCTGTGGGCTCCCCTGGTAGCATCAGCTCTCCTGCACTTCCAGGCTGCCCTTGCAAGTAAACTGGCATCCTTCCGGGGGTCGGGGTTAGCCCTGCGACTGAAAAGCAGAGCGCCCAGGGCAAGATATGGGAGGCGGCCAGTGGACGTGTGCTCAAGCTGGCAAAATCAGGACGTGGTGGGAGAAACTAGCATGCGGCGCACAAGCTCTTTCTCTACTCCCCTGCCCAAACCCAATGAATGGGAAACATGACTTGGTTGGCAGAATCCGAAGAGGCAGATGAACCCCCAACACCTCTCCTCACCCGCTTCTGGGAAAGGTCTTACCTGCCCTAGCCCCAGCCCTGTGAGCTCTTGGTAACCTCTGACCCCACTGAGCAGCTTCTTCACACCATCAAGCACTGCCCTCCCACCACGTCCCCTCAGCTCACTGCCATGGCTTTCCACCATCACCAGCTCAGGTGACAGCACCACTCAGAGGTCAAAAGAAGCTCTATGGAGGGAGGGGGGGGTAATAAAAGACACAGGACTGGCTGTGAGTTGAGGTGATAATGTTTGAAACCCAGTGATAAGAATATGGGCTTATCGCACTATTCCCTCTAGCATGTTGTATATTACTTTTGACATTTTCTACAACAAAAAGTTCAAAATAAATCTTGATGTGGCAGATGCCGAGTTTCATGGCTGGGTTTCCCTTTAAGAAAAGACTTGCCAGCCTTTTTTTTTTTTTTTGTCTGCACAAGGGGGCCTTCATTGTCTATGGCAAATGTGTCTTGCTCTTTCACTGAATCCTAATAGCAATCCAAGAAGCGGAGCTATGAGGAAGCTGAGGATCAGGGAAAATTAACTTGGATTGCAGACCGCATCGGGATCCCAGGTGTGGGCCCTGGACCTGCAGCATCAACATGACCTGGAAGCCTCTAAGAAATTCAGAATCTCCAGGAGTTTGAGACCAACCTAAGCAAGAGTGGGATCCATGTCTACTATAAATAGAAAAATTAGATGGACACATTGGCAGGCACCTGGGAGGCTGAGGCAGGAGGATCTCTTGAACCCAGGAGTTTGAGGTTGCTGCAAGCTAGGCTGATGCCATGGCACTCTAGCCTGGGCAACAGAGTGAGGCTCTATCTCAACTTAAAAAAAAAATAAAGAAAAAGAAATTTAGACTCTCAGATGCCACCTCAGAACTACCTACTCAGAATCTGCAGTTTAATAAGATGCTGGGGGGGGGTGGAGAGGGGGGTGTGTACATGAAAGCTGGAGAGGTTTTGTTCTCGTCAATCCTAGCGCCCATAAGACACTTAATCCAGAGACATGTATTCTCTGTAAACCTCATTCCCCAAGGCAGTAGGGCGTAGCCATTTTCAAATAGTTCAATGAGAAAGTTTTTCTTAAGATGGAGCTAAATTTTACCATCCAATATACAGTTTTCTGATCCTGCCTCTTGGGCCCATATAAGAAATGTCAAATTTTCTGCCTCAGGGCAGGAAGCAGGGGAGAAAGAAAGAGATGACAGAGCATCAGGAGCCCTACCAGGGAAAAGCAGCTCCTCTTTTTGAGCAGGTTTTCGGTCACAGGCTAATTCATGGACAGCAATATAGTTCCAGCCAATGGAGGAGGAGAGGCAGGCTCTTGGAGAGGATGTATGT